TTCCCCTCACCCCAAGAAGGTCCTACGCTTTAAACCTTTAATTCGCAATCACATTACCGCGTCGATCCTCCTCACCCTTATAACATTTCTACTTTTGTTTGTAGTCAATTTTTGCGTCACTTCCTATCTTCCTATTTTTACTTTCAACATTCTGCATTAATTTTGTAGCACAAACAGAAACAAACGAGTTCGCAAAAACCACAGAAACGCTTGAGGAAGGAGCAATCAAGATAGAGGAGAAATGAGACAACACTGACTATTACGAACTATTTTTTTTCCTTTGCAGTAGTTTCTTTTTCCTTTCTTTTTATGTCCCCCTATTTGAAACACTATTTTTCACACCCTCTTTTCCTTTCATACATTCTTCCCTATCCAGACAATTCCTTTGGCTTCTGCCGTCCTTACCCTAACCAATGGTGTCGCTGCTAATATCGACGACCAAATTTCAGTTATTCATCTACCTCTTCTGAAGCCTACTTATTCTCCCCATAAACCTTCCCTTACTTCATTTCCCCTTCACCAAAAAGTCAATACTCTTACTTTGGCCATCTGTTTCCTCCTTGCTCATACTTTTCTAAACTTCCCTCAATTTTCTTTTCACAACCCTTTCTCACTGTTATTCAATGCGCCCCAGTTAATTTTTTCCGTCGCTCTCACGTCTGCCTGCATTCAACCATGACAACCCCTCACCCAAATCCTCTTGAGAACATCATTTCCGCAGTGGATTCGTCCCTCCCTCTGTCTTCCATAAAATGATGAATCGCCCTTTCACGAACTTCCAATCAGCATTGGCGGCTGCTCATTTCAAATGAGTTGTCATTTAAAATGCCTCCAATAGGCATACCAACCTCCTAAAGCCGTTCAGCTCATCTCTCATAGAGTTTGATGTGGGGGTTCAACAACGACTTCGCAACCCTCTCAATTCCAAATGCTGCAATCGGCTCGTTGCCACGCCACATAGCGTTGTTTTCGGCGATTGGGAGTGCTCAAGAAACAGCGCATTCGTGGTCCCTAATTTGATAGAGAGGAACCCAGCAACGGGGCACTGAAACGAATGAGATGGGGAATCTCCATTGGCGGAGAATGAAAAAGTTATATCGAGAAGAGTTCCGATTTTCAGGAATTAAGTACTCAGAATAAGTACTCAGAAACATTACGCTTGTCTGCCTTTTTCTGTCGACGAATTAGCTCCAAGAGGATCGAATTATATTTCAAAAAAGGTTTTCAAAACACATATAGAGCTGTCTAGAGCTTTAGATGGGGGGGAGGGGGGAGGGAAGGGGTGTATAGCCGAGAATGCTGAACATAGCTCATCGCTTTGCATTCTCTGCGTGCCATAAAAACGCGGAAACGGCTCAATCGACGAATCAGCTTCTTTTAAGCAAGCATTTCCTCGAACCATAACAAAACGCTGGCAAATTCGCAGCATATAATTAATGTTTTGTTGTTGCCACATTCCCGTAGCTTTGATCAATGATGTGAGAAAGTCCGCGTAAAAAATGCAGCTGTAACTTGAGCCATAAAATCATTTTTGACGAGCATACACTTTGGTGGAAGCTCAATTCATGGCGCATCATGATTGTAACGGCCAGAAACAGAAGCGCTCTTGGGAAACTGTCCGACGTTGCCGACTATAAACGTTTTGGACAGATGAAAGTTTCATTTGAGGTTGCGGTTGGTCGCTTCTTGGCCTTTTGGCTAGGATCAAAGTTTTCAGTTTGAGAGAAGTGTGTTTAAATCAAAATCAAAGCTGTAGAGACCTTGACTATTTACACATGTTAATAATGATACTGCGTACGTTGTTTTAATCTTAGAACAACGAGCCACCACCTTTGATAGATAGCTACCCTTTTTAAAGGTAAAGCAGCACCTGGGGTCAACCCTGAGCCGACCCGTGCGGCTTATTCGGGACTGCTGAGCTCTGTTTAGAAGACTACTCGCAGGTCAAGAGCCAAACACATGTAAGCTTAGATGTTATGAGTGGGCGCATCTTATCTATCGACCTCGAAACAGGGGAAATACTTGCTTTGGACTTTGTCCTCTATCTATGTATGTATTTGCGGATAACTTGATCACACACTCTTACTCTAGTCTTAACCGATCTTACTGTATGAAAGTCAGTTATTCCATGTTTTGCTATGCTGAAAACGATTTTGCTCCATTAAGCTCTCGATAGGCTAGTTAATGAGTAAGTGCGTTTAGAATGTTGTCTTTGGCATTCACCAATCCTCTTTGCTATGTTTTCCGACTTCTATTTAGCATGGTGCTAACGTTTTGCCCACCTAGAAAGAAACAATGACCTGGGTAGCCAGCGATACACAAGTCAGTGTTCCTGTCCTCCTGGTACCAACGATGGGATGGAATCATGACATTGTGGCGAGTTGATTGGTACCAGACTCGCCCAGGAGAACAAAAACTTCGTTTAAGTATCCTGGATTCGATTCCATCATCGCGAATGTGGAATTTGCGCTACTTAGGACTAAATCACTTTCGATTTGCGATTTATAAATAACAATTCCGAAAAATTCTCAAAAGTGTGGTCGGGAGCATCAGCCAACATTTCCTTTGTTGTTTGAAAAAAACTATGTTTTTCCTTTCCTTCAGGAAGCACCCGGAAGCTCCCTGTTTGTGCTCGATTACTCCGCGGTTGATTCTAGTAGTGAATCAAGGATTCGATGGGAACCAAATACCAAATGTAACAAATGCGCCACTTTTATCCGGACTGCTATTATGCAGTATCTGGACGTACTCTGCTTTAAAAAATGTAAAGATTTCAAGCAGTGCTGGAAATCTGTTAGGTTAAGAGTGGTCTGGCGATTTCTCCACATGGACTCGTCGCATTTCATAGAGAGACCAAAAAACGCGGGTTTATAGGAATAATAAACAATTATACTGCCTACGGCTTGAAGAAATAATAAACAATTAGACGCATACGCTGTTGCCGGCTGGCAATTATTTTATACGGCTCAGCGAGGCATCTTCGAAGACGTTTACACAACGTTTTCGTCGGCAGTCGTCGAAAATGTTTCAGGGTCATTGCATTTTGCAGGGTACCGCAAACTACAGGCCGAAATAATGCACACACATTACAATTTTCAGTGTTTATTGTGGTCATATGGGAAAAGGTGGTATTATATAAGGGCAAGTGACGCATCTATCAAGCACTGACCTGAACAGCGACTGGCCATGTGCAAGCCATCGTTTTTATTTCGGGGGTTTGATTCACGGAGCTCAAATTATTGCACAGACCACACACGCATTCAACGCGCTGCAACGATTTTGGAAGGAAGTCGAGTGCGAGAACGCATCCAAAAAAGGGATTCATTATCCCCAAAGACTTGAATGTTTGACGGTGTTTAGTAGAAGCAAAAACCATAGAGTGGGCAGCGTTCTATCGGGTTGTTCGGGAAGTTTCTGGGGTTATGGAGACGATTCACGGAACTCAAGGAACACGGAACACGTTAGACGATTCCCATTCTGGAATCGCACACGCTCTAAATTTGTGCCTTTTCGATAGATTGGACTACCCGAAGAGGTTCACTTCCAAGGACTCTACTGGTGTTCGAAAAATGGCTTCTGTGGGAAGCAAGAGCGCGACGCTGAGCAGTTTCGCGTCAGCCATCCAGAACTACGCAAGCTGCCAATCGCTCAATCGATCCGTCTGGTCCCTAATTGTCTCAATTACATGGGTAATTGAAAATCTACGCGAGGAACACAAAGATTAGGGCAATAACTTGTTCGGCACAACCTTGAATAGTAATCGTTTTGGAATGACATTTCAATAAACCTCGGTAACTTACTTCTCCTAATAGAGAATACGCGACCATTTTGTTGCGACCAGGGGGACAATTCATAAAAAGAAAAAACAGAATCACGGATTAAGAAGAGGTGCATAAAAAAAACGAAACAGCAACTTGCAGCGCCACAGCTGCAGCTGGAGAGGCTCAGTTAGTCGGAACAAGAAGGATTAAAGGCACAGTTCACGATAAAAGCACAGTTCACGATAAAAAGGTTTCTGAGTTCTCCCTTTAAGATTATCCGGTGGCCCCAAGGGTAACAGGATAACAGGAAGAATGCTGTCGGGTCCAAAAACTCAACAGCTAGGGCATAGTTTGAGCCCCATTACCGGTTCGACCGAATGCCCCTCCTCTCGACCGATGTCACGTCAGACGAGTGTCGAAACGATACAGATTGCACTATTCGCTCTAGGATCCACACCCAATTAGCTGATCGCAGAATAATGAGACGATTCCTCCTGTTCTTTTTTTCTTTGTTAATATTTCTGCTGCTGGGATCCCCTATTTAAATTTCTTCCCCGAAAGCCTGAGAAAGGTGGGCTATTTTTGCTGTTACCAACATTTTTTGACCCTATGCTTATTAGTGAACGAATTTTGAGGGACATTTTCGCCTACTGTAGTTAGCTCTTCGCACCAGGACTCACACGTACGCAACGATACACATTGTATAGCTCGTCTAAACATCCCTTCTGCTTCACTTTTCTTGTCTTCCTTTCGTCCAGCCCCCTTTCTCACGGTTTTTTAAGCCTTCTAGCTTTAGAGGAGCTTTTACGGAATTCGCACACCGCATAGATCTGTTCACACTTGGATCACAATCTGTGTTGTTTTGAGTATAAAACAAGTTGTCGAATGGGTTACATCTATGTATGGCTTGGACATTATATGGCGTCATCAACTGACTGAATTAGGGCTCTCCGAAACCACTAGAGCCGGGAACTTCATTTAGGTACCTCAGAGTAGGCTAGACATAACCTTATATTTTGTTAGCGCGTGTGACGACGACGATGTGCGGATTTTTTCGCACAAATCGAGCAGCACTTCGTGAAGCAGTATTGGAGACGGCTTGATGGGACTCTTGCGCGTACGAAAATTTTGCAATTTAACGGCATACGCCTTAGTCATCTCACCAATGAGTGAACTGTCCGGCACATGCACACAATTTTCCCACAAATTGCAAAAAAAATTCTGAACGACTTTTTCAGCGACGAGAGCCGCCCCAATGAAAAACTAGAGAACAACGTAAGCAGGTTGCTCGATAAACTAATAGCCAGTCATGATCGACGGATTCGTCCAAACTATGGAGGTGAGTGCATTTAATCTCATTCTCCTCTATAATTCAACACAGAGTGAACTCTATGAATTTCCGAATTTGGGAAGCAAGTAATGAACTTTTTCTTTAGGATCGGATTTTTTCAAGTCACGCCCTGCACTTTCCTTATAAAGGATTATAAATATGTTCGCATGCCTGACTTACTGATAGTGACTTATACACGTCATAAGAAGCGGCCGAATTAGTCCGATCTCATCGATACAGTGTTGCAAATTCGTAAAAATTCCCGCCAATCTATCCGCTGATGCTAGAAATACGGTAGCAGATCTCGTCGATCGCCTCACGATTAAGCCTTCCATGCAGAAGCAATAGAAACGTTCGAAATAGCTTATTGAGAAGCTAGCTATAATACTTCAAAGTCGTTAAAAATATCTGCCGAAAACAGTTCAAAACAGCTAAGATATTTTCTGGAATGCCTGATAGTGCGTCATTTGCTGCTATTACAATATTATACATCTCTTCCACCGATTTCTTGGGGTGCATGTCGGTTGGCGCGATGGGGCGGGGTCGCCCCGCCCATTTGAGGCGGATCGCGGGGTGAACAACTCGTTCACATCCGGCAACCCTCTGTCTGTCCTCTCCAGCTGATAGAAACGCGATCAATGACGCCGCTACTATTAGACGCCAAATTGCGGACCTCCTTTGTATTCCGCCTACATTCATCATCCATTTCGTCTTTTCTGCTCCTTTTTAATGCTTCCTGTCCCTTTCTCACTGGATACTNAGTATCCAGTGAGAAAGGGACAGGAAGCATTAAAAAGGAGCAGAAAAGACGAAATGGATGATGAATGTAGGCGGAATACAAAGGAGGTCCGCAATTTGGCGTCTAATAGTAGCGGCGTCATTGATCGCGTTTCTATCAGCTGGAGAGGACAGACAGAGGGTTGCCGGATGTGAACGAGTTGTTCACCCCGCGATCCGCCTCAAATGGGCGGGGCGACCCATCCCCATCGCGCCAACCGACCGCCTCCCATTTCTTGGAGAGTAAAATCGAATCGAGTTGCATCAGATCTCAAAGTCATGACGGATAATCAGATTTTCAAAGAATGCAAAGTTGTGGGGATTTTACGGACAGGTATAACTTATTTAAATGAGTGCTGATTCCGAACAATTTCCCGCAGATAGCTGTTGAGACTGATGATCTTCCTAGCGTCATGAGTGATACTCGGTGGCCTTCCCGCACTGGCTGGTTTAATCGGGCCTTCACTATACTTAATTCCATAGATAGCCTCCGTAATCGTAGACCTTGATACATCAAACTGCCTTGAAGGTGAGCATGCGTCAATCCTCAATTACTGCCTGCGTCAGTGGCGCAAACTTCCCCACATTTATTGAGATCCAAAGTTTGACCCACACTGGAAAAAAAGTTAAAAGGACCAGAGAGCATTTCTATACTCGAAAACCTCATGAGAACCCACCCGAAATACGAGCCGCTTTGCTCTCTTTTTGGAAAAACATCATACAGTTAGCTGGAATTAAGCTACCGGTTGTTTCGCATCGCAGGAGACTCGGTTATGTTTGAAAAAAATCAGTCAAAAACATCGAGTTCGAGGTGAATTATGGCAAAATAGGTCCAGATGATTTCTTTTTGGACAGCACTGCATGCATGAGTATAATAGCCTGTCGGTCTTGTAATAATGATATTTCAGGTCCTCCTATAGAGGTGAATATTACTGCACATATTACAACAATCAGTGCGATCACGGAGGTTTCCATGGTGAGAGTTTCCAGTAGAACAAAAGCCGACTTCAGACTTTTCTCGGATCAATGCTTGTCCCGTAGCTATCCCTTAGAAGCAAGGTAGAAAACGAAAAAGACGCATAAGACTGACTCAGAAGGATTAACCGCGAAAAGTCACCGTAACCTCAGCATGAATATTAAATAGAGATATTTTAGGACTACACCCTAGATCTCTACTTGAGACAAATTTGGAAAGATCCACGATTGGCATGGGAAAGTGATGTGCAGTCATCGTTGACAATAGGTGAACCATTCATCCTCCTTTTTTCTTTTATCTATCTTCGTTCTTCCCCTTCATTCATTTGCCGTTTTATTTTTTGGTCTAATTTTTCATTTGGATTGTCTGTCTGTCACAGCCGAGCCAATTCATAGTGATTGACTGGATTACTATGTATGTTTTCTACATGTCTTACTTAATATTCTAGTTGCCAGGGTTAAGATATGTTATTATGCAAATAGTAACGTAGTAAGATATTACATTCTCTTCTGTGCCAGTCATCCAGAAAACAATCTTCAAGAGGATTTTCCGTGACGGTGAAAACCAAATGAGTATGGTAGGGATTAAAGTACTTCCACACTTCGTTCAGACGCAGGGCCCCTATCATATTTGCTGTGTCACAAGCTCCGTTTTTTTTTTCGTGTGTCCAATTTTCCAAAATGAGTCCAGCATGTTTTAGTCAATGGTGGGTAGTGCTCACCAAAAAGAGAATTAGAGCCTTTCTCATGCTAGAACCTTTACAAGAACATCACTGTTTGTCATTGGTCTTTCACGCCATATGCAGCTAGTTTCCTAGAAACTCGGCTGTAAACGGCCTAGTGACCGCTATCCTGAGCATTGACATGCACGATTGTAAATTATGAAGCCAGTGGGCTCTAGGAAAGCTTCAAGCGTTAATGGGTCGCCCTTCAAAATGAGGTGCCGGTCCTCACAAAGTGAAATGACCCTGTTTTGGCCTACGATTGCGCGTGTAACTAATCGTGTTAGTTTCAGATTCAGAGCAAGTCGAATCTCCGTCATCCTCCGTCTCTTCTATGTAAAACCACTGCACCCACACTGTTGTCCGTCGCCGAGTATGACCGCAGCTTGAAGCAATCTACGAAACAGCTCAAATCACAGCTCTAAGATGACCTCTGTGACAGCATGATCGAATGAGGTCGAAGACATCAAAAATGCACAAAGAATTGTCTGGGAGTAGACCTTCCAAAATCCTGAAATGCAGCTACAGCAGGCACATGAGCAAAAGAGCATCGTGATTTTCAAAATTGAGTGGGAACCGTGTTCCTATTTAACAGCAATAGATATCCAGCCGTTAGACTATGAGGAAGCCAATTCCCATTTCCTGCACTGCGCGTTGAGGTACTGAAGTGAGCGAAGAGTATGGAATACACTCATGACGTACCGCATTTCCTGACCAGACTCCCTTGGACGCTGTAAAATAAGCTTGGAGTTCCGGAGTGAAGCGGAGGCTCCAGAAAAGAGGATTTCGGCTGATTTCTCGCAATTTTGTGAGTTTAAACATTGAGCATTACCTCACCCCTGCAAGGCAAAGGTCCGTGAAGACAGAGTACTCAGTGACGTGTCACTCTTGAAGAGCAATACTAGTTCTCCAAAAGGTTCAGAAATCCAGAACTCCACACCAATCCACAATCAACTTTGGCGAATTTAGACCGATTCGAAAAATCGATACTTGAGGGGAATCCATTTTTCTTCGTCAGTCTTCTCGGAATTAAATATGTTCAACCCGGCGGAAATAATGCAATGTGCACACTTTGGATAATTTATGAGCCTTAGCAACGCGAACATAAGGATTTATTGATTGAGTTGGCCTGGAGCGTTACGAACAGATATAGGCAGTAGCTTCAAATCCTATCAAAAAATTGAGGGGAGCATCTAGTTCATAGGCAGAGCCAACCCGCGCTTCGCAGTATTCATTTATGAATGTATTGAAGTTCTTGAGCTTGAACTGGGCTTTTTACGAAATCAAGGCTTCTGATATTCCTCGAAGGCTGCATTTCTACTTTATTCCGTGGAGTGCTCAGAGCCACTCGTGAAAAAATGAGTATTGGGTGAATTCGCGTAAAACAATATGTGAAAGGAGGTGTGGTCGAAATAGCCCTAGGCCTTCAGGAAGTATACCTGTACCACCTTTATAGAGGAGGTTCTGCTGGAAGAGTGTTTTTTATCGGTAATCGTTCCTCTGAAGGGTTTCCGACGTAAACGAAATTTCATTCCGCCTATTAGTATTAGTGCATGCCTCTCCGTGGCGTCTGTGCAGCAAGCTGTTCAAGTGGGCCCACAACGAGCACGCCATGAGAGTGTTGTTTTTCCCAGTTAAGGACTTCATCCCATCCAAGCCTCATGATGTGCACGATCTTACGGGACCGGCAAACACATCACTGGCCATCCGGTCATTCTGCCTTTATTCGATATTCCTTTTCAGGTATTGATATGGTGAAAACTATCTGGACGCCAGATACGTTTTTTCCAAACGAGAAAAAATCGTTTTTCCACGAAGCCACATCGCACAACTCTTTTTTGCGAATCGATAGTCATGGAAATGTACTGCGAAGTATACGGTTGACTGTAACCGCCAATTGCCCAATGAATTTGCATACGGTATGTATTTACCTCTAGATGACTCTCATGTAAATGTTCTATATTGACTAGGACATACCAATATTGATCAATATTTAAATATCGATTTCTATAGAAAAAAAGAACAAAAGCACAACAAGTCGATAAACTGGGTATCAAGGCATTATCTATTACTTTACTGCAAAAAATTCTCCATATAAATTTTCCTGAGCTAGTAGATAGATCTCAACGCTTTGGGATACGCCATGCACTGTGAACAGTTTTTGCCATTCTATAGTGTTAACATTAATATCAAACTGAATCTCACGCACGAAACAGTCTTCTTCCTGCCTTCGTAGAGTCCAAGTCTCCGAGCCGTACGTCAAAGCAGGAAGGACAGCAGTGTCGAAAAAGTGAGCGGGGAGCCGGATGTTCTTTGTCTTCTTCCTACTCCCTCGATATTCTTAATTGCTCCCCACGCGGCGCGTTCCCTTCTCCACAGCTCCGGAGCGAGGTCCTTCCCGACCTAGGTACCTTAGCCAGAGCATTCGGAGGTATTCGTTCCGTTCAGCGCAAGGGACATTGGGTACCAATACGTTTTTCATGGACATCGTCTTCGTTAAGTTCAGCCTCACGCCGATATATCCACAAGCACTGTCAAACTCAGCCAGCTTCCATTCCTCCAGCTCAATGTTGGGTGTTACAAGCGCGACGTCATCTGCAAAGCGGAGTTGACGTAAGTAGCGGCTGTCGACATTCACTCCCGTCTCCCCATTCCAAATGACGCATGATATTCTCGGGAGCGGCTCTGAAAAGGGTTTGGGCAAAATGGTATCGCCCTGTCGGACACTTCTCTTCACGTTAATAACGAATTCCTCGTAGAATGATGAAATCCTGTTCTCGAAATTATCGTAGAGCTCACGAAGCATCCTCATATATTGAGTAGGAACGCCCTGGTTGCCCAGTGCTTCGATTGCCTGCGCTATTTACCGTGAAAAGCTTGTGGATTACAGACAGCAAGCAGATTTGACAACAATCGCCATATCGTCTGGATCTCCTTTTTTATACAGCAATACAATCTCGCTGGTTTTCCACGAGGGCAACTGCATTCCGACAGGTATCGCGTGAAAAGCCTAGCCAGAGCTGTGACGACAACTGGTGGAATACTGTTTATATGTTTTGGTTCGATATTATCGGGATCAGAACATGGGAGCCGTACCATCCTTTATCGACGTAATGGCATGTAGAATTTCGGAAGGGAGAACCGGTGGGGCGATGTATTCGTCTCGCCTAAGATGGTGGCTGCCAAAGAGATCCGAGTGGAAGTCGTAGAAGACCTTCACCATTGCCCTTCGGGATGCAGTAACGGTTCCGTCAGGACGACGAAGGGAGGTCATCTTAGTCTTGTAATTGGCGAAGCTCCGTCGGGCTTTGCGAATGCTCTTTCCGGCCTCGGCGGCTTCGTCCAAGACTGCTGCTTTTCTCTCTTTCAGATCTTCTTTTATCGCTTCTCTGCATAGCTTCGCAAGTTCGGACATTTGTTGACACTGCCTGCAACTCGCGCGATTCCATACTGGCGTATTAGCTCGAGATTCTCCAAGGAGACTTGTCTCTTGGCTACTTGTAGACTCTCTCCTTTTCTAGCACTATCGTGAAGATGTTCGACGAGCCGGTTGTACTCTTCATCAATGTTATCGATAACGGAATCCTCCCATTTACTCGCAAGGGAAGCAAAGTAGTCCCAGTTGATGAAAGTCTCGTGGCTTCGTTTCCTATGTTTCATATCTCCACGCACTCAGAAGGAGAATCTAACGCGGAGGAGACGATGGTTCGATCCCATGTAGAACTTCGGAACAACAGTGACATTAGTCAGGCAAAACCTTCGATTAGAGACGATGTGATCTATTTCATTATGGAAATGTCCACCGAGTGTCCCATCTCCCATGGCCTTCGCAAATGTGAGCGCTTCTGAAACTGCGAATCACCATGTATGGTGTGGGTCGACGTGATGAACTCATTTCATTCCATCCCATGAGTCCCGATGTAGGCTCTTCAGCCATTCTTTTGGGGGCAATCTGCGTTGAAATCACCGACGATGATCTTGAAAAAGGTATGGACTTCTCTGTAAAGCCTCTCCAGATCCGTGTAGAACGCTTCCAACTCCTCTTCTTTGTAGCTTGATGTTGGTGCGTAGGCAAGGAAGATGGTTAGAGCTGGAGTTGATCCACATTTTCTTAATCGCAACGTCGGATTGTTGAGCTTTCGTACGAATCGATGCTCATGGCGAGGTGCGTATTGACGAAGACGCCTACGCCGCCGACGCCTTTGCTGTCACATGTTCCAAGGAACAGTTCTTCCAGTCTCAAATACAGCGTGTAGCGGGCAATGTCATCTCGTCTCGGTCAGTCCGGTAACGTCATACTTAATCCTTCTAGGTTGCATCATCAGATCTCCTATACATGCTTATAATACAAGCGTCGTGCGTTGAATGTACAGAATGCCATCTTAGTCCTTCTCCTTTTTGGCCTGTTTTGGCCCTCAAATTTTAGCAACCTCTCAACCAACACTGCCGTATTGGGGGCTCCCTCAGGTGGGGGAATGATGCCCATCCATATTACTGCGATAAATGAGCACCCAACGTGTAGCTTGCCAGGCCCTAAGTGGGGGCCAGATTTACTCCGGGTGCTAACTAAGCGGTCCCGGAGTGGACGAGAAGCTTTGTTTTCGGAGGCGGTCCCGAATCGCCTCCTAGATACTTCCCATTCGCTCGAATGCAAGTTTTGACCGTGTCGATGGGCAGGCTGCACTCGTAGACTTTCCACACCCGTGGATGCTCCTGCGAGAAACAGAGGATATATCGACCAGCACAGCGGAATCAAGGAGTCCATCCCCCGAATCCAAGTGCGCCTCTAGGCAAGTACTGGTGAATTTTGGCAATTAATTCCCCTATCCGCCACGTGGGGACGCACTACGTGGCCTATTCGCTTACCGGCTGGGATCCTCTAGTGAGAGAGAACTCTCAGTGAAGCGGGGTCCTATATTATGGGCGTCAAAATCCGAACGTTTCTGTGGCGGAAAATTTATAAATTTCACTTCATCCGCAGTTGATTATTTGCACAAGTAGGTTTTCTTGCATTATGCATACTTACTGAAACGAACCTCCCAATATCTTATAGATGGCGTAGGCTGACTCAATGTCGCATGCAACCATTTGCACGCAAAAGGCGGAAGAGCGTAGGTCCTTCCACCGCTCGGACCAAACTTTCCCAAGAGTGGCGAAGAGCCAGTTGCCTAACTTCATTACCGCTGATAAATGACCACCCTGCTCTCTGAATCTCAGTTCACTTGACTTCGCCGTATGGCCCTCGAGTAGAAGTGAACCTGTCGCTTTTGCAATTACAGCTTAGAGTCCTTAAAAGCAAGACTCAAGAACGGGCGGAAAGAATTGGAGGCGGAATGCCTGTGGGATACTTTTAAGTGGCATAGTAGTTTGTTGTAGCCCAGATGTAAGCGGACGTACATATATGTAGATCTTTGTCATTCTCAGCTTTGAAGCTTTAAGTCCATTGCAACAAACAAGCGCCCGTAGTGTGGGAACACCCTATAGCACATAAATCAATGTGCATAGGATTAAAAATATCGAAATGTAAACTTAACACACGCCGCAACCCAGGAATTGTCGAACGACGACACTTAGCGAGCCCTACATTTTTCATTTAATAGTACTGCTCAATATTGTTCTTCATTACTTTCACTATTCCTCCTTAATAAAGGAATCCTGGTAATAAGTATTTTACTAAATAATGGAATTTTGCATTAATTTTGTAAAATTCAAACATTAACTAGCTACTTAGTCAGACTAAGTCAAGTGAATTTCAGTTTCCGTTGGATATCCAGGAATGCGCATTGGAAATCGAGGTGAGTCACTAACATTAACGTGTTTAACTCTCTTTCCATGCTGTTTTGAGTTCGTCACCTTTTTGTCTTGATCTGTATTATAATTTTGTCATCATCTTCATTTCTAATTTCTCTGCAGGGCATGAGCACAGTTCAATCACCTGTATCACCTCGCATTTCGTTGGTCATCGATTTCCTTGAGCGGACGCTAGTAACGAGTCATACTGAATGAATGACACGAGGCATTCCTTTCGTTCAGAGTTTTCTTGAAGTCTAGCCATAGCGGTGGCGAATTCCTGGTGTGCGGAGGATCCAGTCAGTAATCACGCAGTGCAACGGTCATTACGATATCGCAAAACTTGCCAGCCCACCTGATTTTCGATTTCTTGGCGTAAGCAACAGCCTACCAGATCTCCGTTGAAGTGTTTGGAATTCGGTTTTTCGTCTGCATTTGCGTGGGAAGGGAAATTTCGAGTACCATCTTCTCCTAAGTGCATTGAGTGACGCTGACAGCATGTTAAACCTGCTCCCGTTCTAGAGTCGAAGTCTACGTCTGAGCACGAATGTCGAAAAGGTGAGCACGAAGCCGGATATACTTTGCCTTGTTTACTATTCTGTCGATGTTCCAAAATGCTCCTCACGCCACGTGTTTCCTTGTATTTAGGGCTATGTCGTCCATCATCTTGATTTCTCGTTCTAGATGTATGTACCTAGAGCATTCGAAGATGTTCACTCCGTTTAACGTGAAGGGAATGTCAAGTAGCAATCGGTTTCCCATGAACGTCGTCTTCGTCAGCTTCAGTCTTAACACGTTGACGACAACGCCGACAACGGTGCGCGATAGCAATTCTGTCCCGGGGCACGAAGGTGGCAGGCAGGCACGGCTCAATGGTGTACGACAGTACATTACTTCAATCAAAACGCGTGTGCGCGATCCCTTTTTGTGCTAGTTTCAAATTTAAGCTTATGGATGTCTAAAATAGCACCGGAGTTTTTGAAACTAAGACGAAAATCCGCTCAGAACTTCTTATTCAACCCAACGTTGCACCAACCTCTTCCGAGCGGTCATATATAACGCTTCGTATTAGGGACTCCTTCAGATTCAGGGGGATGAAGCCATTTTTATTATTATTTTTGATGTATGGACACCAATAAGTAGTTTCCCAGGCTTCAACGTAGAGGCTGTGTTGACTCCGTGTAGCTAGCCAGGCAACCCCACAGTGGTCAAGGGGTATTGATTTTGGAGGCGGCTACAAACCCCAGATCGGACACCTTCCAGTTATCCGAGTTCAAGCTTTTGGTTAAGTCCATGGGCAGAGCTGCACTGCACCAGCAGAGTCTCACACATGCATACGTGAATTACCCGCGAGATACAGAAGGTATGTCTAGCCAGCGCAACAAAAACAGGGAGCCCATACTCTGAATCCACCTGCGTCTTTAGGCAAGTACCGGCGACTCTTAGTCGCCGATTTACTGTGAAAAAAAGGTTTTAAGAACCCTATAAGTGCTCTATAAATGTGTTTTGCCTTCGGACGGAGTACGTACAACTTATATGCATAAATGACAGTCATATTTATCAAATGGGCGGAAGTGATGTGGTAGCAAGTCCGAACGATCACACACAAAATGCTTGGGCGGGTATCTTCTAGGGATCGAACCCCTGAACCATATCCGCTCATGCCAACCGAGGCTCCCATCCCTTTAGGGTCGCCTAATTGGAACCAGAATCGTCATCGTCTGGAGGAGAAAGCAGTGACTTGAAAATCGGCTGGCCACCTCAAGTTATTGTATAATATTATACATATAGGCTACGCACATGCATTAAGTATCGTAGTGGCATTCAATCACCACTACGATATCAAATGGAAGTTGGATGCGAAGCACATTTGAAAAAAGTACTGATCAAGGCAATGTTTCTATCCTCCAATTATTAGGAGTTATCAGCAGTTCCTTCAGCTGTTGCTTTGCCCATAGTGCAAGCGTAATATCTATGGTTACATCATTATCAGGGTGTTATAACCATAGATATGATGCTATTATATCATAGCCATCATCGGGAATAACCCCAAGTCGTTTGGTCAGGATAGCAACATCGGGAGTCACGCCAACATCCATTAGCTTCATATCGGCGGCTAAGTCGGAAGTGTTGCTCATTACCGATCTTCCCAACCCTGGATCCCACTCACGATCTATACAAAAGCTATCTTTAATTGGTCCAAAGAGAATATGAGAAGAACTGCTCCGGAGACATATCCGTTCATTTATCCACTTGATCAATTAACTATTCATTTCCTTTTTGCTTATTTATCTTTTCATTGAAGGTAGATGAATAAGGTGCACCATAAATCACTCTTGTTTGTTCCCTCCGTAATTCGTTTGCATGGATGTTGGTATTTCTTCTTCATATGTGCGTAACCTGTGCAAGATACTCTTTCATCACACTAGCTATCATTCACCCACCCTGCATATGCAGACAACGATGCCGCACAACTACCACTGTAGCAGAATGTACTTGCACCACAGCCTGGTTTTGCTTCACGGTTTCGTCTGAAACGCGAAGCAAGCATGCGGATGGATATATGTATATAGCGAGACGTGGTTCGCCAAATTCAAGAAAGGAGGCTTTTATCTTGAAAATGTTCCAAAGTCGGGTCCGCCGATGGAGTTGGATTTGGAGGTGCGTTCCACCCAGAGGAGGGCCCTTAACTAACCACCAGGAAAATGGCGTGCTCGGATATAACTGCACGTGATTCGATGATTGCACGTGGACTGGAGAAGCTCGGCAAGGTAGCAAGGCTTGGTTCGACGGGTCCCACATGAACTGTCCACTTGTGACCTCTCTAGGAGTGTGGCCACCTTCTCTCCTCACTTTTAAAAGGAAGCTCCACTTTCTCAACTCGATGATCACTGGAAATGAGAAGTGGGTCCTCTACTACAACCCTGTGAGGAAGCAGCAGTGGGTCGACAAAGAAGAACAGCTAGAAGTCATCCTAAAGGTCGACTTTCACCTTAAGAAGGTTCTCCTGTCCTGTTGGTGGTCAGAAGAGGCATGGAACACTGGGAGCTGCTGGAGAAGGGAAGCGATCAACACTTCCACATACGTTACCCAAGCGCGGGAATTGGAAGATCAGTAGAGCGTACTGGTGGTCCGAATGCGGAAATCTACTCCCACAACGACAACGCTCGACCTCACACCGCAAAGGCGACCCAGGCCGAGCTGGAGAAGTACGGATGGCTGATTGTCGCCCAGGTCCACACAGCCCTAACCTCGCTCCTTCCGACTACTCGCTGTTCAACCACTTGCAGCGCTTTCTGGGCGGAAAAAGTTTGAAACGTCAGAAAGGCACTCGATGACTTCTTCAAGTCCCAGTCCCCGATCTCCTAGGAGGAAGGAATCGACACGGTGTCTGAGCGTTGGCGTCGAGTAGTGGATGGTGATAGTGCATACCACTATTTTCAGTTTGGTCCGCTATAGAAGATATACACAAAAAAGTCGGGAAAAAAAATTATGCATCAACCTAATATACATACACGCTTACAACTTTTAAATTGTTATAAAATTTTTTGATCTGATTTAGCACCCGGCTATTTTACTCCCTCATGCAATATAAGAAAAGTGTTCTCCTCTATGCTTACCTACACATGTTAAGACACCTGTTCTCTTTCCTCATGCCTTCTTTTCGAAATGGAACGCTGAACTGGAAAATGTCACTAGGAGTCTTCAGGTTGTACGGCTTTGTCACTGACCATGACACCCCGAATATTTCACGCCTGCTGAGCGTTCTGGCGGAGCCCTTAAGACAACTCCAAATACCCAAATGACCTCCTGTCTAGTTTTAGAAAGGTGCTCTGCTCGAAAACAAGGAAATGTGAAGAAGTGGGCGTGAACGTTGCAGAAAACATTCCTACTTACAATTAGTAAGCGTTCCAGTGAACATTGGGCTATAGATATTTCGTTCGCCTACCATACCCATTTTACATAGCCCGAAGCGAAGTAAAAAAAAAACTCACCTACGATCCACGAAGGTGGTAACGTATACTTCACCGCTACAGACGATAACCTTGACGTATCGTTAGCGGCGATATGCAAGTGAAATTGTACACGAGCTGAAAAGTACGACATTTTGCAGTGTATTCAGAAATTAAAAATTGCTTTTTTACATCCTTCTTCTAATATTCACCCAACACCGGAATTTCATCAGTTACAGGTAAAAAAACAGAGTTATTCTTCATGCAGTGCTTTCAGAGCTACGGCTATTCGACTAGGGACATAATTTATCACTGGCACGACGCCAACGCCGTAACTATCGACGAGAACGTACACCTGGCACATTTTTCCATTGGTGATCATTACCATATCGAAAGGACAATCTCGCTCAGTACAGGTATTAATGACAGTGAGATGGACAATTGGTAATAAAAAGGGATGAACTCATCTGGCGCTGATCGATCCCGTTTTAGAGATGTGTTTTCAATTCGACTTCCGTTCAGAATCGTAGCGGCAGTTTAAATGGATTTATGTGCTGTACAATGATTTGCAGTGTCCAGACGACATAACACATTGTGTTTTTATCCTCCCAGACATGTCTACCAATTAATAACTCCGAAAGATGTGAAATTTCGTTGACATAGGCGGGTATCGTTTAGCTAGTTCGTTCCCCAGGTAATATGTGTGCGCCTCTTGAGACCACACCACCTACTCCGCCTAAAATGATTGATAGTACAACAAATGAATTAGTTTCATCAAACCTTATCTGTACCGAAGAAATCATAGATTCAAATAGAGCAACTGTTGTGGTCTGATGGGTGGGATCGTGTAGTGGCAAGTGGCGCACTATCACAAACGGTCACGGTTCCAGACCTTTTGTCAATACCCGCCTAGGCAAACCAACTCTTCCATCCCTCCAAAGTCTGTCAATTGGTACCAGACTTGTCTGAGAGGATGAAAGTACCGGCTTGTACCCGCTGACCACCGCAAGTCATTGTTTAGGCCATACACGCATGTAATACGCCACCACGATTCCTAATCGAATGTCAAAGGTCGAATGCGGAAGTGCATCCCCTGGACGGGATTGACTAACGCCCAGAGACTTTATCCTCTTATCCTTTATGGTCTTTATGGGTATCCAACACCGAATCGATGTCGACCCACTCCAACAAGTATCCTTCCTTCCAAGGTTGATTATCAGCAACAGACTCTTTTAAATATTTACATCGGCTAGCTATCTACATCTTTATTGTATACGCAAAATGCGCATTGAAACGCCACCGCGATTCTAATTGGAAGACAAAGGCTCATCGTCTGTAAATTGTTATTAACCGCCCTAGAATTGAGCTTACACCACTAACAACTTCGAATGTCCTTTCAATAACCCGAACTTTCGGATTTCCTCATTCGAGAAGCAACTACGCGAGACTTGTGAATGACTAGAAAATAAAAAGTCAAAAAGGAAAGTAAACCAATGAACCTTGCCTTCATATTGCAGGCAACTACTCTCGTCTTTCGGCCTACTTCACATTCAAACGGAATCTCGGCTTCTATCTGATTCAGATCTATTTCCCATCGTCACTAATAGTCGTTATCTCATGGGTGTCGTTTTGGCTAAACAGAGAAGCCGTTCAAGCTCGAGTTGCTATCGGTATGATTTATTTGTTTACGCAGGATCAAAATTCCAGTAAAACCACTCTGCAGGCGTAATTTCCAGAGTCTTCGGAGAAAGGAAGGAATAACGGAATGTATATAATTTGGTGAGAAACTTCAGAAAAAGAAAAATTGTAACTGTGAACAGAAAAGTAGAATCAAGAGACAAAAAAGAAATAATTTGTAAATACGCAAACCAGTCGATAAATGAGAGGAAGAGTTAGCTATGCCGACGGCTGCTAGCAGTCGACTAATTTCTCTTCATCCAATCATGAAACTCAAATCAATGCGTAATCAATGTAGATCAAGATCAAGCTCTCACATTACTACATCTGTTATAATAAGAGTTTCAAATGAAGGATAATAATAAAGTGAAGATTAAGTGATCAGTGAAGTATAAATAAAATAATCGTAAAGTAACACACAAGCTCAAATTATCATTCAGTATCTGCTTCTACCGCTGACACGCCGGGTTATTTTAATAAATATCGTGTAATTTGCTAAGTCTGTCTGTTGGTTTGTGGATGTGTTTGTGTGTTCGTGCGTGTGTGTTTGTGAGTGTGTGTGTCCGACCGAAAATTCATGATTCATAGCTCCTGTTCCAATGGACCTAGACCGGTCGAACTTGGCAATATTACAGCTTTTCGTGCCAACAGTTTGACCCGGCATTTTGATAAGTGATGTACGACATGACGGGATCGTAGGCCTTTGGTGAGAGGAACCGATAATAACTGATAAGAGAAAATAAAGGGTCTAACTAGGGAGGAGTAGTCTACTTATCTTGGAACTTTGAATGTAGACCCAGATAAATCGATAGAGTTTTGAATGCTGTTTACGAAAATGGAAATTAAAACTGCAAAATGGTTCTCCTTAAAAAGCTATGGGGGCCCGAATTTTGCTCGACA